GTATACAGATATTTATGTACAAGTTTATGATAAACCTTTGCCTTTTCATTTAAAGGAAGCACTTCATGACCTCTTTGGTGTATCTGAATTGCCAATACCACTACCAGGGTAAGAGTAAAGTGAGCATAAACAGTGTGGTACCAAAACAGTTGACCTGGTAACAGATGACTCCCAAATGTCTAGCAGGCAGTGTATACACCATGTACACACTGGACAAAGGGATGGCTCACACTCTGAATGGGGCAGAGAGAACAGTCAACTGACTCTCATCTGGGTTGTGCTAAGAACACCAATCCTCACTCTGCATCTATCTGCCCTCTTTCTCAGATGATATTGCCTTCCTTTCTTATCTAACTCAAGCCCTCATCCTCAATCATGGATTCTTGTCCTTTCCTGAAGGAGAATCCTACCTCCAGGCTTCCCTTCTGTCTCATGCTGGACGGATGTCCTTGCCCCACAGGCCCCTACACATCCTCCATCCACAACTCCCTGTACTTCCTGAAGGACTGTTCTTATAGTGGTATTTGTGGCTCTGTGCTTTGACCTTAGAGACCTCCCAGAACCTGATCAGCATGGTCCTCCCTAAGGATCCACAGGCACAGCTCCACAGCTGCCACTCATTTTTGCTTCTGGTCCTTGGCTCCCGGCTTTTTCTAGACTGCTACCCAACTCCATTCCTGCCCACATGCAAAAATGCTTTATTCAAAGACTGACACCCCTGTGAAGGTACCATCAAAATCTCCTTCTCCTCCATCCTCTTGGCACATTTACTATGGAGCTACTGGCCCTGCTTCTTGAGCCCCGGAGTTTGATGACACCTGGCTGATCCCTTCAATGGCACTACCCAGTCATCAAGGTGCGCACAGTCCCTCCAGACAGACAGCTGGAGAATAGGAAAGTTGGGCAGAGCTGAGATTCTGCACTTCTGAGAGGCTCAGGAAGTCCTGGCATTGCAGGATTGCTATGGATAACACTCATTCCTGGACATTTTGGAACATGGTGACTCCAGAGTGTCAAATTCCTGAAAGCTTCTGGCAAGGGAAGCAGCCAAGCCCCACGGGGCTTCTTGGATTCCTGACTTCAAGTGACATTTCCACAGCTAATTGGCCTGGTCACTTTGCAGAATCTCTTTGAAACTCCCATTTCTTCATTTGAAAACTTCAAATTGAAGCCTCTGCCGCTTATCTTACTTTACATTGTAGTTTTGAAGCTGAGGAAACAATTTGACAAAGATAGTTGGATGAAAGAAATAATATGTATTGCACACTGATGTTGCACTAGAAACTGTCCCTTGATCACCAACCACCTCAGTTAATCACACAACAATGCTGAGGGGCTGCTATGGGGTTGACATTTCACTCACAAGGAAATCACTTCTGGACTGCCCAGTTCAGTCCTGTACTCTACCCAAATCTGACCTACCCCCGATAGAAAGAGTGAATTTTCAGAAAATGTATCCATATGGTAAGCCACTAGCAACTTTCAAATGACCATAGTAGGACTGTTGATACCACAGCAGCTGCAAATGTCTGAACCGTGGAGAGCAGCTGACCATGTCCCACTGCCTGACTGCATGCATAGTCAGTAAGTGGAGAAGTGGAGGAAGCAGTCTGGTGGTATCTCTGTGTCAGAGGTGTGAACCATCAACCCAGCTCATATTTGGCCCTAACCAAGTCCTTGGTCAGGGCTCTTTTCCGTATGTTCCTTCTTCACCTCAGATATTGAATGCAGGCTCCACTCGCAATAGGCTATGATTAAACATAAGAACACCTTTCAGTTTTGGCAGGAGTTGATATACATCACAGCCACCGAGAATAAGGAGGTTTCATCCTAACCTGGACTTCTGTAAGTCAAATTCACTGCTGGGAGGTGCATGTGGCATCCAATCCCCTCCTCCCAAGGTTCTTGTGACAGCCTGCGACAAAAATTCTCCAAACCCCGGTTTGAAGAATCTTAACAAGTTTATTGGACTTGCTAACTGAGCTTGGGGTGAGGATTTACTTACAGACAAGTGGGCGCCCTCCCCATTCATGGCTGATGCCAAAAGTCCACACCCAAACATAAATCCTGTGGCTCTGGACAGCCTTACAGAATGGGGAGGGGCCAGTCTCTGGTTTTCCCAGCTTTTATACCCTTAGCCCCTCCCCTGCAAGTACCTATAGTCAACCTGTTGGCTGGAAGAGAGAAGGGGGTGGCTTCTTTGCAGAGTGTGGGAAGGAGGTGGGTCCATGGCTTGTCATCACAGGGTCAGAGGAACATCTTCTAGGTCACAACTTCTCATGGCCACATTGCACTGCTGACCAGTGGCTATCTGGGAGCCCCATTCTTAAATGTTAAATATATTTGAAGCATAAAGTGCATGCATTAATCCTGGAGAAGACAGCCCAGCTGACATGGGAGAGACAGTGACAGGGCCCACATGCAGATACTATCTGGCTTCTCTTGCTTTTCTCCAGACTTGTTTTAACAAAGAGTTCTTTTTACAAAATATACCTCAGGACTTCTGCTAGGGAAAGGCTGCTATGCCCCTGCTCCAGCTTGTAGGTTCTCTCCTTCCACAGATGAAAGGAGGGCAGCCCACCAAGACACGTGGCACATACTTGAGCCCTTGGCTGAACTAAGGATGTTCTGCGAAATATTCATAGGCTGCCTGGCTCTTCTTTATCTTATCAAAATGGAATTGACTGAGCCCTATTGCAGCAACTTCCATGTGATTCCTGGGTAGGAACACTGGGTTGGCTAAGATTTTTGTGAGAATAAGTGTCTCTCTTTTGCTGGTCCTTTCAAAGACTACAGTGTGGCTTCAACCACCAAGCCAGAAATACCAAGGCCGCTTTGGGATGTATGCCTCAATACTGATGGCCACCTGGCTTCTTTTTCCAGTGTGTTGTGCTATTATTAGATAAGTTGTGGAAACTGGTAAGGCAATTTCCAATTTGCATACATAAATCACAGCTGCCGAAATGCACATGATATAGCTTTATGACTCTCTTCTTCTCCTTGTCCCTTTGAGAAGGTCAGTGATTCCTACTAGGGACACACAGATTGAATGTGTGCTAAGCTTGCAGAACCTTGTGCTTGTTCTAGAACATTACGTGGTCATCCTCTCTTCTGGGGACAAGTCACAACTAAAAACATCCTGAGTATCATCTCATGACATGCAGAAAATGAATGGATCCCACATGGGCTGACTTCAGGCAAAGGGGCTAGGTAACTTGTGGGTCCTTCAGATGACCAGAGAGGCAGCATCAGTGTAGCGGGTGCAGCGCTTCATGCAAAAGCTCTTTAGCAATGTGAAGGAGAACACTAAGCATCATGAACATCTTGTTCACCGGCACTCAGAAACAAAATAATGACTTCTTTCATGCAGGTGACAAAGCTAAGTTTCACATGTATGCAAAGGAGGAACTCCCCTTACACTGGCAGGAAGAAAAGAGAACTACTTTGGTCACAGGCATGAGGAGGTTAAAGGCAGCTTCCAATGCAATGGGACCCTGTCCCTGTGTCTTTCCTGCCTCTGACCAGGAGTGACTCCATGAGATTCATTTTCCAGCTGGCTCACTCTCTCCCAGTATCAGCAGCACATCTCACCCGGTCATTCCAAAGTGAAACCCCCTTTTCCTTCTCATATGTTATCTCCCACGGGACTGTTGTTGGTTCAAGGTCTTGAGCCCCAGTGAAGAAGCAGTTTCTGAAAGAAACTGGCATATAGCGAGAACAAGAGAGGCGTTGGGGTATCCCCTACCTGTAAAGGAAGATGGAAACCATTTTTGCAAAGTGAAATCCTTGGCTTAGGAAGAGAAGCACCCTTGAAAATCTCAGAAGAACCTAGTTGAACAACAGGTGTTCAGGAAGACTGCAGGGTCTGTGGAGACCTGCCCTCTCTTCTGCAGGTAGGTGGGCTGCATTCCCAATTCAGAGGCCCTGCCTCAGCCATGCTTCGAGGAGCACACCTGAGGGACTGAGAAACCCAAGTGGGCTGTTTTCCTGAAAATGATGGAGCCTTCTTTCTGACGCCATCTCAGAGGTTTAGAATATGCTAGAATTTTGCTGAAATTGAATAAGCAGTATGCCAATGAATGAGCAGTCAGTCACCTTAAAGGGAATTGTGTTGTTCTTCATTCTGTCAGAACTTTATGCCAACATAGAATAAAAAGAAAGATGAGTTTCCAACCATGCACTCAAAAGGACTCTTCTGCTTGTTGGATTGGTGACAGGTTCATATCCCAAGACACCAAGGTTGTTCTTCCCAATAGTGGTATAACTGCTGGAAACTGTTCAGCATGTTTCAACTTGGGGACTCATTGTCAACTTTGTATTTATTTGGTCTGGGAACTTTGTGTGGGGAAGTTTGCAATGAAAAAAAAAACCAAAGAAACATTGCTCTTGAACACCTTGTCTTCCTTTTGTTGCAATGGCAACGGGATAGACTCATTGTCAACTTTGTATTTATTTGGTCTGGGAACTTTGTGTGGGGAAGTAAGGAGGAATCAAGGTCTCCCCTCTGTGTGCTGCTCACACAGCAGGGCTCTGGTTGTCCTTCCAGGAAGGCTCACTGGAATCCATCCATGCAGGCATGCACATGTGCAACCAGGGTAAGCACATGGCCAGCTCTGCTGCCGTGAAACCCAGGGCCCAATGTCATTGTGAGCCCTGACAGTTCTTGCCTGTGGTATAGATGGAAACAACCCTGGTCTTCAGGTCTGACTTAAGACCCAGCACAGATGGAGGAGAACGCCAAATAAAGGACATGCTTGTAACCTGCGTGAAGATCAAGGAGACATGGCTTACGTTGTCAGAGTGTCAATACAGAACCAGTATTCCCATCTTTGTAGTCACTTGTTGATCATGCTATGTATGCTGTGCTTATTTTAAACACTGTCTGTTTTATACTTTCTTGGAGAAAAAAGTCTTGGAGTTTACAGAGACCAGAATTTGCTACAGGCAAATGTCATAATGCATATCCCCAGTGACCACAATCCTGTTTCGTTTCCCCTCAGGAGCTGGAGTTTCAGGACCTGACAGTAGTCCTCCACTGTATCCACTCCTTCATCGCTGCCAAAGTGGCCTCTCTAGACCCTGTGTTCATGGACAGTCAGAGTATGACAAGAAGATACATGTGCAGCAGCTGAGACAAGAGTCTGGGGGACGCTGAAGAAAGTCAAATTATTTTCTTAAGAAATTAATCTTTCCTGCACAATATTGCAATTTTGTGTGGTTTTATAACGAGCCTATAGTTGTGATACCAATAAAAACATCACTATTTCACAGATGGGTCAGACGTGTTGAATCTGACAAGGGGGTGCAGATCTGTCCAGACACCATACTGGTGGGAACTCAGGGTCCTCTGAAATCGTCCCATCCCAGCCCGTCTCAAGTAGCCACAGTTTACTCCACACATTCGTAAAAATCCAGATTTTATTTTTGTAAAGTACATAGTGGGAGGCGAAAAGCCCACCATTTACTCCTTCCTCAGGGAGGTAAGGGATTCCCTCGGGCAAGTTGATCATCCTTTGTCTCACGTGGGGAGAAGTATGGGGTTGAGATGAGAGGAGGAAATTTTAATGATTTAATTTTATATTAAGTACATATTTATTATGTAACTGAATTATATGTCATTTAAATGTGAATTCTATTTTTTCCTAATACATCAAATACAGCACATATTTTGGTTTCCTTGTTTCTCATATTGTTTATAACCTCTGAGCAGGGACGTTTTCTATTTTTCTTATTAAAAGCGATTTAATGGAGTTCTTGAGTTTTCTTTCAGAATTAGGAAAAGGCGTGTTCACATCTCTCAAGGCTTCCATTGGACCACAGAGTATAGGAAACACAGAGTGTAGGCCCCTGTAGAGCAGCGTGGGGCGCTGCTGGGGCCTACTGTTCTTCAGGCCTTAAGGCCATGGAGTTTCATCCACCAGCCACAGCTCCCTGAATCCCATCCACCCTGATGACCTGATATTTGGGAAGGAGGAAATATTTTTAACATATCAAGTTCTTACAGTGAGATCTCTTGTTGAAATTACATCCTCCTGCTTACAGGATGCATATCCATTTATGACATGCATATATGACACGGGTTATACACAATGCCCCTCTGTATACTTACACTCCCTCTCAGACTCCAGCAAGAGCAGAATGGTTTGCATGTTCTCCCTGCAAATGGCTTCCTCAGAGAGCCAGATAGCATCCTCTGTACAGCTGTTGCTCAGTTGTATTTCTACTTAAATTTCCTGTTAGTATAATGTCCATAGCAACAGGCATTAGAGAATGAATGTCTATAGCAAAAGGAGTTAGAGTTCTATGGATTCTTTACCCAAGAAAGAATGGAACGAGAAATTCCTTCTCCAAATCTTCTGCCAGGATGGATATGCAGACCTCTAAATTGAGCAGATTTTCCTTTACACAAAAAGTCCAAACTCAGAGCTGGAGAGATGGCTCAGTGGTTAAGATCTCTGGCTGTTCTTACAGAAGACCCGGGTTCGAATCCCAGCACTCATATGGCAGTTAACAACTGTTCGTAACTCCGGTTGGTTCCGGGGGATCTAACAGCCTCTTCTGTCCTCCACGGACATTGCACAACATGGGTGCACTTACCTACATGCAGGCAATACACTCATTTATAAAAAAAAAAAAAAGTTTTTTTTTAAAAAAGGCCAACTCAAACCAAAATAAATAACCAAACAAACAAATACAACAGCTGGATGTGGTGGTACACGCCTTTAATCTCAGCATTTGGGAAGCAGAGACAGGCAGATCTCTGAGATTAAGTCTAGCCTGGTCTGCATATTGAATTCTGGGCCAATTGAGGATACAGGGAGACCTTGTCTCAAAAATCAAAACAAAACAAAACAAAAACCCTATAAATAAATAAGCCAAAACTCACTTTAAAAAAATAGAAGATGTTCTGCACTAGAGTGGGGAAATGTGGAAAAATTTTTTGTTTCTGAAAAATCTCATTTCAAAACATTTTCCCCCAAAGATTTAATCCTGTGTGGGTATATAGCTCTTTCTGAAAGATGCACATTTTTTGAAATAACCAGATGCCCCTCACCGTCTGCCCACTAAGCAGGTGCTGTGTGATGCATCCTTAAAAGGCCACTGGTAATTTGGAATATATAGGTAATCCTGAAATTGTCTCCATTTATAATTCTTATTAGAAAGAAAAAAATAGCCTTTGATATCTAGAGAGGATATCTGTGTCTTCCTCAGGGTCCCTGCAGCTCACAGTTCACCACTTACCTGGGTGCAGGTAGAATCAGTCTTAGGCTCTCATTTTCCAGGTGGAGAAACTAAGGCTTATGAGGCTTTGCATGGGGCTGGCAATTAGTCAAGCCTGGCTTTGCATGCCTGATACTCAGCACGTCTCAACCAGCGCTCATGTGCTCATGCCTCTGCCCAGCAGCCTGTGGAGTCTGTGAAGAGAGCTGCCATTATCTGAAAAACGTGATCACTTATGCATGTTATGTCTCATTTGAACAGAAAGAAGAGAAACTTTTCTATTAATGAAGTGTGAGTAATGATGAAGAATCTCATTTTGGAAATTATCTTAATCCAGGTTATGGAACCTTATTTAATTTACAATTCAAATCCAGGCACTTGGTAGAAGACAATTTTGAGTAGATAATTCTCACTGGTAGCATTTCTTGATAATTGTTCATCTTGATGTTTTATTCACAACCTTTACAAGGAAGATTAAGAATGTTCATGACCCTAAAAGGCAAAGAAGTGAGATTACAGGTGTTTCACTGTGTATCAGGAAGCAGAACCCTGCTCTGCCTGTCTGTGCATCTCACCTTCAGAGTGGCCTTGTGCAGCTCATGCAAAGCACCTCAGATTTTAACAATGTGAAGTCAGCAGATATGATTGAACTCTGTCAAAGAGGAAGAGCAACGGAAAACCCTCTTTTAGAAAAAAGTTAGCTGAAACATAATTTCAGCTTAACACACTGGTCTTAAGCCAGGGGATAAAACAGGTTTCGAAGAGCATTTCTTGAATTGAAAAGAGAGATATATTAATTTCATAGTAGGTTTTGATAGGTGACATGTGACATAGTGAGATTCAATTCTAAGATGCATAGCAAATAGTTTGGGCAGGAGGAATTGAGAGGAGGGAATACTCAGGATTGAAACCAAGGCCTTGCTCATGTTAGCCCAGCACTCCACCACTGGGCTCATGTTAGCCCGGCACTCTACCACTGGGCTCATGTTAGCCCGGCACTCCACCCCTGGGCCCATTTTTGCTTCTGATTTTGAGGCAGAACCTCACAAAATGGTTGAGGCTGGCCTTAAATTCACTCTGTAGTCTTGGCAGGCCTTGAAATTATAATCTTCCTGCCTCAGCCTCCTAAGTAGCTAGGATTCTAGGCCTACACCATCAGACCTGGCTTAGAAATCACTTTTAAAGGATCCACATGAACTTTTATCTTCTTGTGGCCTGAATTATAGTGACCTACAAGTTCATTTCAATATCTTTACTGCATTTAATTACAGAAACTAAAAAGAAAATCACCCGCAGAGTATTGATAAGAATCTCAGAATCTCTCAATTTTACACTGAACTCTGTTTTGAACATGTGACTCCAGTCAACTAATATTTTTTAATAAGCTTTAAGTTTTGATATTTACCATGACATAACATTGGCTTTTGCAGCCTACTTCTGTGTATTTTGTGATGATGTCCCTCCCTTTATGTGCTCACAATGTCATAGTAGTGTTCACGGAGTCCTAAGAATCACCAGCAGAACTCGGGGCCCATGCTTCTTGGGGATTGATTTTAATCCTCTAATCTAGTGAACATCTATCTGCAGATTCCCAGTGTTGGTAGAGTTGCAGATTCCATTGGCTGGTAGAGTGACATCAGATTACTGCCTACTCAGACATGGCAATGGAACTAGGCATATTGTTTTTTGGGAGAAGAGAGAGTGGATGATGGGCAGCATACAGTCTGCCCCTCTTGGGTCCCATCTGGCCCTTCCATGCTGCTTACAGCACACAGAATATGTCAAAAGCAGAGGGTCAATCTTCAGGACTCTGTGGGTTCAGAAGTTGGAATCCCACCCCAGTTCTGACAAGCAAGTACGAACCTGGGTAAAGGATTTACCAAATCCATTTATTTTCCATAATAATCCCTGTGCTGCTTTTTACAGTCTCTTCCAAGCACCTGTGAGAAATCTAGGGGAAGCTTAACTTAGTCAACCAGGAAGGAGTGACACTGGTAAGACCAAGCGCCCCCTGTCTCTGAGTCCTTATCTGTGAGTCTGTGTACGGCTAGGCCTGTATAAAGCAGGTGTACATGAAATACCACCATGGTTTTTGAAGGTTAATGTGATTCACCAAGAAGGCCTTTTTCTGTTTGTGGAAAGGTCTCCAGTAGCCAACAGCAGCAGATACCCCATTCAGTGCATTGTTCAATGAGGAACTTTTCAGTAGTCCTGTGACCAAGCAGAAGTGTACATTAGAGAACAGATTTACCGTGGGAGAGTAAAACCAGGCAGAGTCACTGTCCAAGACAGAGCACAGCAATGTGAGGAAAGTGGCATGTTGAAAGAGAGAAGACCGGAAAGCCCTGGACAGGCTAAAATCCTGGGATACATTAACACTATACATGCTTAGAGGGAAATACTGCACAGCACACAGAACAATCCACTGTCGTCTTGAGAAAGTCAAGAGTAAATAGCTCTTATGGGACGTGAGTGGAGGTTTTAGGTAAAATGTACTCATTCAACAGATGTCTACAGGGTGTCAGCTATAGTGCCAGGCTAGGTGGTGGCTTCTGCAAGATCACTGAGCAGCAGTCGGCACACTGTGGTGAACCCCAGCCTCTATGACTACCAGAAAAGCTGAGGTGATCCCAGGGTGCCTGGGCAGGAACAGGTAGCAAAAGAGACACAGCTACCACATCCCTGGACTGGCCAATGCATCAAAGAATCAAAGCATTGCCCGTGGGTGCCATGTTCCAAAGGCATAGCATGGAACCCAGATGGCCATCGCTGCACTAAGTATTGTATAAGGTCTGCTAAATGCCACTCTCCAGCATGTGTCAGGAATCAGTACCTTTTGCATAACTGTAATTCCTGACTAGGAAGCTGGTCTATCTTTCAGTCATTAGACAATTGGTAGAAGCTGTGGAGTTTGCATATCCTCAGCAGAATTTCTCAAAGGCTTTATTAAGATTTTGTGTTTTTTTTTTTTATTTTAAAACTCAAAGGCACTACCCATACCACCTGATTCCCCAGGTCTCCATGAAAACAGAGTGCAAGTACAGGAATGTA